CAGCTCTATCCTTCCCCCATCCTGCTTCCAGCCCCGACAAGTGCGCGCTGAGGGCACTCCCCTCAGTAAACCCCTTGGAGTAGAATCTCTGTGTCAGGCTCTGCGACCAGGGAACCTGACCTGAGAGAGAAGTACAGGATGATGCGGGCTCTGGAAAACGTATCCCATGAGAAGATGATGAAGGAGCTGCAATACTCAGTCTCGGGGAAAATGTGTGGAAATAGGAATAGCAGGTACCTTCAAATATTTAAAAATTAAATAGTAGAACAAGGACAGGTTGGATAGAAATTAGGCCAAAGTAGAATCTAGATGAGCATTAGAAAGAACTTTCTCATACTCAAAGCTTCGCAGCATAGGTATAGACTGCTTTGCAGTTTGGCATCCTGCATGGAAAGTATTCACCCAGAATCCAGGGGACCCCTGAATGGGACAGAGGAGGAACCTTGGACCTGGGTGGGTGAGTCACTGGACCAAAGGCAACGCTCTAGATGTTATTATTCTAAGGGCCACAAGATGGCAGCAGAGAACTCACTCCAAAGGTGAATAGAAAATTCTGGTTCTTTTCACAGATCTGATTCGGATCTTCAGATATTCTCGGAGGCATTGTGTACACCATTACAAGCCCTTGTAGACTCATGACACACAGACATGCAAAGTCAAAGCATTTCTCCTAAATCACATATTTTACTACTGGAAAAAATGGTAGAAACGGGTCAACCCTATCATGAAGATTACACTGAATCAGGGTAAACACACTTCGTAGAATCTGACACTGATGCTACTTCTATCTTGACATGCAGATTTCTACTTCCAGCCATTGTGTACCTTCCAAAAGGGGACTCTCTGTTTGAAATAGGCTTAACCAATGGCCTACATGTTGGGCTTCAGTCTATGCTTGCTTGTGGTGTTCACAGAAAACATGCTCCACATTGCTAGGAGACAACCTCAAGTCTACATATTCTCAAAAAATACAGGGCAGTGTCAGTCCTTTCACTTATTTGTTCAGTTAATTTTATCCACTCTAATAGCTGTATACTATTTCATCATGGGTTTGATTTACACTTCCCTAGTGACTTAATGGACTGGGAAACAGACTATTGGAGGTCACAAATAGAACCTGTGTGCACCAGGACCCAGGAGAAAGGAGCAGTGACCCCCACAAGAGACTGACCCAGACTCACCCGTGAGTGTCCAAAAGTCTCCAGTGGAGGCGAGGGTTGGCAGTGGCCTGCTGCAGGGTTGGGGGCACTGAACGTAGCAGTGCCTGCATGGGACCTTTTGAATGAGGTCGCCATTATCTTCACTACCTCCACCATAGTTTAGTGAAGTCGCTCAGTCGTGTCCGACTCTTTGCGACCCCATGGACAGTAGCCTGCACCAGGCTCCTCCGTCCATGGGATTTTCTAGGCAAGAGTACTGGAGTGGATTGCCATTTCCTTCTCCAAGGAATCTTCCCGACCCAGGGATCGAGCCCAGGTCTCCCTCATTGTAGACAGACACTTCACCGGCGGAGCCACCAGGGAAGTCCCCACCACAGTTTGGCCCCAGGTAAATAACAGGGAGGGATCACAGCCCCACCCATCAACAGAAAATTGGACTAAAGATTTACTGAGCATGGCCCCGCCCATCAGAACAAGACCAATTTCCCGCTCAGTCTCTCCCATCAGGAAGCTTCCATAAGCCTCTTATCCTCCATCAGAGGGCAGACAGAATGAAAACCACAATCACAGAAAACTAACCAAACTGATCACATGGACCACAGCCTTGCCTAACTCAATGAAACTATGAGCCATGCCCTGTAGGGCCACCCAAGACAGACAGGTCATGGTGGAGAGTTCTGACAAAATGTGGTCCACTGGAGAAGGGAATGGCAAACCACTTCAGTATTCTTGCCCTGAGAACCCCATGAACAGTAGGAAAAGGCAAAAAGATAGGACACTGAAAGATGAACTCCCCAGGTCGGTAGGTGACCAATATGCTACTGGAGATCAGTGGAGAAATAACTCCATAAAGAA